CATGCACTTAACACATGAACTTCAATCAGAAAATGGTCTTTCAGTGCAAAGAACATATTTATTCTGGTTCAGTTGCTAAAAATGCAGTCAGGCTACAGTCGCTCACAAGAAAATAAAAATTTCCTTTTTTGGAGACAGGGTCTTACCATTTGTAGCCAAAGTTGGCTTTAAACTTTCTGCTTCAGCCTCTTTGAGTGCTCGGGTTAGTTGCATGCACCACTACACCTGGCAAAAAATAAAACTTAAGAGTGTATATGTGAAAGTTGGCCTCTAACATTCCTTCAACGTAAAATCATCAGTTTTTCATTAAGTATAATCAAATTAAGCTCTGAAGAAAAATTTCCTGCCCAACTATTTACCACATTTTAGGGTATAAAATATTTTCTGCTGTTAAAAGTTTCCACTATTTCTGGATGTCATCAATACTGTAGACCACCAAACTATCATGTTTATTTTATTTTTATGTATTAGTTACAACTCCTGTGTGTAAATGTTAAGGAAATGAAGACTATACAATACAGTGCAGGGAAGGAAACTCTTAGTGGTCTCTACCATAACAGAATAGTTACTGTAGATTTGTTAGATATTGGTTTCCAACTTTTTGCTACTCTGAAATAAGCTATATGTTAACGTAACACTTAATAGATAAACCCCTAAAATCTCCACAAGTTTACACAGTAGAGCTTTATTTATTGTTTATATGTGGTACAAACAAGTTACCTGACCCCAGATGGCTTTCTTCCAAATGCTTATTTAGGGACAGAAAAGTGGCTTTTTGTTATGGTTTCACCGTCTTTAACATGGTTTCCAAGGTCACTGTGGAAAGGTAAAGAGCATAAACCATTCCCGCCGAGCCTCAAGGAGAGCAGCGCTCACAGTGCTGTGCAGAGCCTAATCAGACTGTGTTAGTGGTTCTCAGTCCTGAGCGAAGAAGAAATAGGCAGGGTGTGTAAGTATTTTTATCAAGAATCCCGTTCTGCCTGGAGGTCTTTGAAAACAATCTTGCCTTGGAAGATGCTGTAACCTGTGATCTTTCCCTAATGACAATGCCAGGGAAGAGAAGCTAGGTTTGCTTATATCATACCATAATTAAATATAACATGCAAATTTATTTTAATTATGTTTAGGGTCATATGCATATTGCTATATCACAAGACACTAAAAATATTTAGATGTTAGAGAATTATTTCCTTAAATATTAACTTCTTTAAAACTATCAAAAATTTTCATTTATCCAGAACTTAAAAATCCAAATAATGTACTTCTGAACTTTGCTGTTTTCTTATTCATAAAGACCAAAAGTTACTGTAAAATTATTTTCTGTTCACTACATTTTTCTCTACTATTCACAACCAACAACAACAAAAACCAGCCAATAAGGGAAAGTATAACAAGGCTGATTATAATTCTATAGAGCCCTTATTTATAACTTTGTCTCCTGCCTTATCTGCCATGAATCCCGTTCCCCTGTGCCTTCTCAGTGAGTCACATATTCAATTCTTGCATTTGCTTCTTTCTTTTTCATTACTGCTTTTTAATTTTATTACCACTTTATTATAATTATTATTGTGCCCTCTTGATAACAAGGCTACAACAGGTAAAGCAGGCTGTGCTTTAATCTGGTCCCTTTTTAACTCACAGAAATTTACTACTATGTGTGGTCATCCTGCTTGGTTATATACATATATATATAATTTTTGTTTTTAGAAAGCAGGGGATTGTTGGCACTACAACGCGTACTTTAAAGTGCAGACTTTTGAAAGTGTTTATTCATTTTGACAATGTGGAAATCAATCATTGAGAGCTGGGGAGAAATAATTTTTATCAAATTCTAAAACCCCTGCCTTTTATTGTCTACAGCCTGTCCTGTACTGGAGATTGAACCCAGAGCCTGAGCACGCCAGAGGAGCACAGGGTCACAGAGCTGCAGCCCGCACCCTTCCTGCACTCATTCATTTTTATTTTGTGGTACCATCTCGCTGTTACCCAGGCGGACCAGGAACTCCTGACCCTGCTGCCTCAGCCTCCCGAGTATGGAGGTTACAGCACTGCATTTGCTTCCTTATAATTTTTTTCCTGGCTTCTCTTTGAATGATTGTATATTTACTAGAAATATTTACAAAAATTTTTTTCATGGTTTATTGCATATTTTTCTTATTTATACTCAGTACTAAACATGGTATTAACTTTTCTTCCATACTTTCTCTTTAAAGTGACTGTTAACACTGAACAATAATCCTGTCTCGAAATAGAAACTATGGTTCAGAGGCTTGCACCAAATGAAATATCGATTCAGGTTGAAGAATATTTTGATGTTTTAGTTTTGTTACAGTTCAGTTGTTTTAGAAAATATGTAGGTTTGGATTTAGTTCAGACTGGTTCACTGGGTTTTTTGTTTTTAATGGGTTTGATTTATAGTTCTGTGAAAAGTTTAATATTGGTTTTAGGTCAGAGAGGACACATTCAGCAAAATAGTTGTTTGTTTCCAATTCGGGCTCATGGGTCATTAGGAGGCCTTAGTGTTGTAGTTATTTCCAGAGCCACGGTGGAAGTTTGCTCCTCACATGGAGCCTTCGTCCCCGTGGATCGGTGGCCCACAGCCCACAGTGATCACAGCCTCGCGAGGGCGCCGAGGACGTGGGTCGCTACACAAGCAGAGGTTTATTTGCATTTTAACTATGATAGGATTTCCTTGCTTTCTTTCTTTATTTTTCCTGTGCATACAAATGACATTTCCTGAAACCTCACATCTTAAAACTGCAAACGCCTAAATTTCAAGTTGATTTGATGCGTTTAACCATGCCATTTAGTGGACTTCTGTTTCCAAATGATTGCAGACTTTTAGGAGATTCCACTGAGACCAGCGTTCTGGTCCCTTCTGTGGCTTTTGGCTCCTATTTTACTGGCTTAGTGCGGCAAAAGATTATCAAGACACTGAATAGAGAGGTCATTGTAGCAATAGACTCCAGTCTAGAAATATTTTATGCAAAACTATACATTTAAAATATTGGTTGGGTTGTCACTAAGTATAATAACATTGAAGGAGAAGAAAGAGGCCAAAAATCCTCTCACCAGAAAAACTCTTTAAAGGCCAGATAAATAGGAAGGAATGTGTTTAATACAACTAATTTATAGATAAATGTGGTGCCAGGCTAGAATACATTAACAAGGTGAGGCTTCAGGGTCTCTAGGTAGATAATATATTGCTTTCATTAAAAAGCAATCTGCATGGACGATACCCACCACCACTGGAAACTGCAGCTGTCACCTTTATCAGGGGAATGAGAGCGAGCCACTACATTTTAATCACTGGAGTTTGTCAGGAACGAAAAACAGCCAGCGTCCCACAAATCAACAGACATGTATCCTGATAAGGGGAGTGCACTGGAGAAGGACAGGTATGTGCCACATGACACCGCCTATTCTGGGTGATCAAAGCTCAGTAATTGTGGTAGATAAGTCTACACTATTGGATTTAGGGTGAAACAGTTGTCTTTGAACAAAGCAGACACATATTTATACAAATTAGCAGGACTTAGGACCTGTTTAGATCTGAGTTATTTTGCAGTGTGGGAAGGAATAGGCAATAGAATGGTAAAGCTTGAGTATCTTCACACTATCCTAGTTCCAGTGAGGAGGAAAAGTCAATGTGTTAGGAGCCCTGGAAGCTGGAAATTGAGCTAGGGCATCAACCAAACGTGACCCTACCAGAAAACAAAGAGCGCCTGGGTCAGCCACCTGAAGAAGTTGGTACAGCCGGGGAAAACACCCAGCCCCTGGACAATCCAAGCAGTGGGTTGTTAGGCAGAGGGCTGAAACTGGCATTATCTTTCCTGGAATATAAATAAACAGGCTGCATTGGTTGAGCGGTATGTTTCCTCCCATTAGGAGAGTAAGGGGTCCCCCTGACCCAAGCTTTGTCTCTTTATTTTTCTCATCCTGTCGCGGTCTTTCACCCAAAGAACCTCAGGAGCAACGTGGGTCACAGCTTTGGAAGTGAATTGAGGTCTAGCTTTGGAAGTCATCAGGAGTCATCAAGAATAACAGCCAAGGATATTGTAATATATTTCCAAAACCCCCAAAGAGCCAGGAGTGGTGATGCATGCCCATAATCCCAGCACCAAAGAGGCGGAGGCAGAAGCACCACTGCAAGTTCAAGGCCAGCCTGGGCTACGTGGGGAGTTCAAGCCCAGCTTGCACTAACGGTGAGTCTCTGTCTCAAATAATAAAAAACAAAACAACAACCAGAAAAAAAACCACTATGGTCTCTGTCTTAAATTATACATGTTGAATATTGGCTCCCTGGATATCATTAAAACAACCTGTTAACTATACAAAACCAAGTTTATTATTAAAGTAAAGGAGAATATTAATTCAAAGGACTTTCTAAAAATTTTCTAATTAAGGTAAAATTCAAATAATTTACAGTTAACTCAGTTAATCAAAGCTTGGAGCAAGCTCTGATTTATTGGAATTTCAAAGCTGGGTTTAAGGTTACTCTTTCAAAATAAAGAGTAAGGATTGTGATGTGAGTTTAGGATTTTACAATCATGAGCGCTTTAGGCAACAGTTTAGGCTCAGAAGTGAGCTATTGGTATTTTCTACTGAAGAGTTACGAGTCTCTCAAGAAATTCCTGTAATGAATAGTGAAGTTACTGACCTGAGCAAGAGACTTGAAATGCTAAAGTTATGCTGTGCAAGACAATGGAATGGTCAAATGACGAGCCAGTAGGCTGTGGGGTGAAGGTGGGCTGGATTCTTACAGCAAGAGATGGAGACATATAAAAGATGCATTTTCTCACTACATTGGGGCAGGATTGCTCCTGAATCATTCAAATCACAAAATCTGTAAAATGAGTTCACCGGGATCAGCCCTATGGTACCTTCATTAAATGGTAAGACTCTTTGGGGGCGAGGATAGTATCTGTCAGCCCTTTACATCACGGGAATGTAGTACAGAACTGAAACACAATAGTGGCTTCTTAAAATCTCTGAGATTAGTGCTCACTTCAGCAGCATATGTACTAAAATTGGAACGATACAGAGAAGATTAGCATGGCCCCTGCTGAAGGCTGACACGTAGATTCATGAAGCATTCCATATTTTTTGATAAAAAAGTTGTATTTTTATACAGTGGAGTACTACTCAGCTATGAAGAATGATCACATTGAGATATTTATAAATAAATGGACGCAGCTTGAGACCAAACTCATAAGTGAAATAAATCAAACTCACATGTATCAATACGGAATAACTTCCCTAGTGTAAGAAATGATAAGAATACATAAAAAAGTATATGATAATCATGATTTCCCCATTATATGGGTTTGAAGCCTTATAATGTTTTCATTCATTAATTGGAATGGTTTTATTCTGGGTTGTTTGATTTTACTGTCTGTGATGGTATGAACAGCTATTTTGAAGAAAACAAGACATCATAATAGCTAGTGCTGATATAATATCATCTTGTTTTGAAGTCCCACCAACCTTCTGTTCTTCTGTCTCCATCAGTCTTATCATGGATTTTATTATATGTGATAGTACAAACAAAAAATTTTATAGACAAGGAGATAATATAGAAACCATTGTTTGTTTTCTGTTAGTTGGTTCTAAATACCCTGTAATACTTTCATTCTTTTGAATGGTTTTACACTGTCTTGATATGTTTGATGCTATAGTATACGAAGTTATACTCAAATATTTCAAGGAAAGTGACACTATGGTAACTACTGTTATGTCAGGTTATCTTGTGGTGAAACACTATGTTGCTTAAATTATTCTGTTTTGACCTGTGCTGTTGTGTTGTTATGTCCTCTTTTATCTCAATCTCCTTTTTATTTATTTATTTATTTTTTTTTAATTAAGGGAAAAAATTTAAAAATAGCAGGATATATTATAGTAGCCCACTTTGATTTCCTATTAACTTGATTTGAAGCCCTGTATTGCTCTCACCATCTTGTTTTGACTGATTTTACTCTATTCTCTTTAATTTAGTATTAAGTTTGAGGGTATAGGCAACTACTTTGAAGACAATAAGATTCACTATGATGCCCACTCTGGTTTGACTATTATCTTCTTTTGAAGTCCTGTAATGTCTCCAATGTTTAGGCTTTGTTGGTTTGTTCTGTACTGTTTTGTTCAATTTTATTATACCTGATGATACAGGCAATTCTTTTTAAGGTAGCAAGAGGCATTATGGTAACCATTGTTGATCACCTTGTATTCTGTTTTTACATTATGTACTATGTCCATCCTTTTGATTTGAGTGACTCTGTTTTGTTTTGTCACATTTGGTTTTATTCTCTTCCAAAAAAAAAAAGTAATAAGAATGGTGGGAGTAATAAAACCCAAAATGTGTAAATGTTGTAAAAAAGAGAGGAAAAGAAAGTACTCTAAAGGATACAACTGGAAGTGTGTTTAGGTGTGTAAGATAGATGACCGTATTACTAAGTTTATGTTGGATCATTGAACACAACTGTTTGCAGTCTCACTGTTTGAATGTCCATTTTGTATGCTTTAATTTTGTAACTTAGCAACTATTTCTAAGATGACAATGTGTAATCTACTAACTAGTGATTTCTTACAGTTTATTTTTTTGAAATTCTGTATTACTTATACCCTTTTTCTGTTTTGTTTTGTTTTTCTCTTTAAATAAAAAAAATCTCTGAGATTAATGATCATGTAAAAGTTTTACAATAGTGGCTAAGCATTCACCTGAAGATAAAGCATATTTTGTCAGTAAAAATGAGCTCTATTTTAAATATCTTAAATTAGTTGCTTCATGCTATGGAAAGATATTTTATCATTTAATAAATAATTTTTTTGTTTTTGCCATTTGGCTATTAATGAATCTCTAAAAGAATATGGGAGAATCTGGAGTGCCCTTGTAAAGTAGATGTAAAGACTAAAATAAACTTGGCATCTAAATAATCCAGTAGCCAATGCTGCCAATGCTGCTGATAACAGAGCATATTTATAATGAGGACTTTTTTAATTAATGAAAAACTAACTGTGAAGGAATAGAAAGCAAATATTTCATTTCCACTGCCTTTGTATAGATCAGAAAAAGTACTGCAAATATACTTGGCTATTTATTTTCAAATAGGACTAATCAAAGCAAACATTGTACCCCATAAGGGAAAATATTTGGGCTCCAGAGTGTATAATTCTGAAATCCTCAATACATTTTGTAATCTGGAAAGTGTGTAGTCATTTACCTGCTACTAAAAACTGCCAGTGGGAACAGAAATCACAATTATTCCTAAATTACTTGTCTTTGAAAAATAGATGCTTATTTTGAAAACAAAAGCGATCTTCTTTGCTGAAGTAATACTGCAGAGAAATTTGAAAGATGAACATTAAAGTATACATTTTTTCGTTTTTAAAATTTTCCTTATATTCTGAAAAATTATGTTAAATATACGTAATGTAAAAAGTTACCATGTTAACTACTTTTAAGATACAGTCACTGGCATAAAATGCATTCACATTGCTGTGCTGCCATCGGCACCCGCCAACACTAGTCATTTTTTATCTTAACCACAAGAAAATCTGTCCCCCATAAAGCAATCACTTCTTCCATCCAGCCTCTGGCAACCACCCCACTAGATTCTGTCTCCATGAATTTGACTACTCTAACATATTGTGTAAGTGGAATCATGTGTCTTTTCGTGATTAGCTTATTTCATTAGCATAATGTTTTCGTGACTGATTCGTATTGCAGAATGTGTCAGCATTTCCTTTACATGTCTAAATAGTATTCCATTGTGTGAGTATGCCTGTCAGTAAACAAGTGGGTTGTATGTACTTATCATCCATAGTAAATAATGGTGCTATTAACATGGAGGAGTATAAATATCTGAGTCTTTGATTTTATTTCTTTTGGGTACAAATCCAGAAATAGAATTGCTAGGATTGTTTGCCTATCTTTCTGGGCAAAGTTTAGTCTCTGATTCTTAAAGAGGAAAAGACAAAAGAAAACTCCAGTGATTAATTAAGCTCACAGAACACTTTAAGGAGAGCAAATGCAATTCTCTATTTCTTGTTTACACTACTACAGTGATCAAAGAACATCGCTGATTCAGCCGGGTGTCTGCTTCCCAGGTTCTGTCCCAATTCACCACACTAATGGCCTTGGGAAAGTCCTCCGACTTTCAAAGCTTTAGCTTCTAGATTTGTCAAATGATGAAGGCACTTCTTTGAAGTCGCTTCCGGTTCTCAGATTCCCTTTAATATGCAATAATCCTCAGGAGTAAACTGCAAGGACTACATTTTAGACGGTGACGAATGATGTAGCAGTCTTACAAGTTATAAAAAGGCGATTAACGTAAACATGGAGGCCTCCATCCAGAAAAATTTCTCCATTTCATGTAGTTTTCTGTGAGCTGAAAGAGTTTATATTAAATGTATATATCAAAATATTACCCATGACTTTCACTCCTGTAGAGCCATATAAGAATTTTGTGATTTTTTTTGACAGGCATGAAAAAAGTCTGCATTTGTTCATATCTAAGCTAGCTCTTAGACATCTGAAACCAGATTTGTCTGGACAGGTCATGGGATTTGAATAGTGTCTGCAAAGCCTGAAATTCTTGGTTAAAACTGGAAATCTGGATAATTCTAAGAAAGTCATAGAAATTTAAAGGCAAAGGTGTATTTCATTTTTCAAGTGTCTAGGCACTGATTCTTCTTTACCTATGAACACAAGCCTGATAACAATTAGAGTTCCACTGGCCTAGAAATATAATGTGCTATGATTAAAAGAAATATAATGTTATATGATTAAATCTGTGGTTGAGATAGTTCACAAGTATCTCAACCATCAATTCATAGAATTTTTTCACTAGTTTTCAGTTTAATTCACTGTCAGGAAATTGTACTTTATTTGAGGATCAAACTCACGGCTGCATGCTTGCAAGGCAGGTGCTTATGCTGCTGAGCTAAATCCCCAGCCCCAGCCTACTTTCATATAAACTAAAACACTGTTTACAAGGTAGGATATGAGAGTGACTTGTATAAACTCAACTCTGCTACCCATACTGTGCCGGTGTGCAAGTCACTTGCCTTTCCACACTTGCCCTCGTTGGCCTAAATTTCATAAGGACAAGGACATGGCACAGTAGTTGGACTGGAATAGTCACTTGATAAATATTTATGGGATGCGTGAAAGTTTGTGCCTCCTAGACAATCATGTTTTCTCCAAGACTACCACTGATAAATGGTTCTGGGTAGAATTTGGTCTCTGCTGGTCTCCATTTTGCTTTGTAGGATGTCACACACATGCTACATAACTTTTTTTTCTAGGCTATTATGAAGGAGACTTCGTAATTAATAAGTACTTAAGAAGTAGGAATCTTGTACTTACCAGCACACCACTAGCTATAATTTCTATTTTAGGGTATAGATTCGTTTTGTAAACTGCTCAATCAGCTCTTGACTGGAGCTTACATGGTTAAAGAGAAGGGACAACCAAACCCTGTGCTAATCAAGTCACATACTCATTTCCCTAGATCATGCCCACTAAAACATAGGGGAGTTCTAGGGTGGTCCTATCTACTTGTTCAGTTTAAATCTTTTCATTGATATTAATTTGGGATTTTTCTACGAAATAGAGAAATACTTTTTGCTAAAGCCTAGGAAAGTCAATAAAGGGAAATCGTGTGTCACAAACCCATATTTAAGGGTAGTGTTATACTCTGACATCCTGAATAGAACCAAAATTAAATGGTTTTCTTTGACTGTTGTTTTCTCTTGGAATAAAAATCTCCATAATCCATCATCCAGAAAACTACTTAAATAACATCACCTATCGTCTGCTGGCCAGGGAGGAAGCCACATTGTCTTTTCTGTTTTCTTGTACTTTTCAAGAAAGAATCTGAGTATTTCACGTTGATTGCTTGATTGGCTGCAGAGGGACTCTTTAAAAATACTAAAAAAAATCAGGAATCCAGTACAAATCAAACATAAACTGCTATCAATCATGTGCTCAGAGCATTATGTGAGGTTTTTACTCAGAAAGATGTCATTAAAAGTTGCAGAAATTAATTGGTGCCATTGAATGTAATGGCCTTTCCTGCCATAGTTTCTCAAATGTAAAGAAAAATTATG